CCCCTGCTTTCACTGTATTTGATGTCGGTATAATTTGTGGAGGGGAAGGGGAAAAACAAATCGTTTAAATAGAGATACAGGTGGACCCACTGCAACAATGAGATGTACAAGTCTTTATGTTGAAAACAAACTTTACAACTTTGGGCGAGGGGGGGGGTGATGGGAAGGGATTGGAAGGGGAAACAAAGAAGGAGGCTACAATGCTTGATAAGAAATAGACTCATTATCTTGGTCATGTAATTGTAATCCCTCTGTACAGTATTTTCACAATTAAAAATGAAAGACTCCACATAGAGCTCCCCTATGACCCAACAATTCCACTTTTGGGCATTTACCCAAATGATCACAAACAAGACCACACTAAAGCTACCAGCATGACTATGTTTATTGCAGCATTATTTACCATAGCTAAGATATGGAACCAACCCAGATGCCCCTTAGTAGATGAATGGATTAAAAGAAAATGTGGTATGTATACACAATGGCATTGCCTTTCTTGTTGAAGAATTGTGGTGCATATTTGTTTAAATAAAAAGGAAAAGGGACAAACCAACCTCATGGCCTGTGGGTTATTTTGGTCTTGAAGTTAATGAATTAAATTATTCTCAAAATCATGAAAAAAATACACTTTGGAACTGGGAATGGTGGCATATGCCCATGAGGCCAGATCTTTGGGAAACTAAGACAGGCAAATCAAGATTCAAGGCCAGACTGAGCAAAAGTGAGCAAGATATATCTTAAAAACTAAACAGGTACTAGGTGCCAGTGGCTTACTCCTGTAATCCTAGCTACTCAGGAAGCTGAGATCTGAGGATCATGGTTCAGAGCCAGCCTAGGCAGGAAAGTCTGTGAGACTTTTATCTCCAATAAACCAAGTAGTGAAGAGCTTACCTTGAGCTGAAGAGTTCATGGACAGCACCCAGGCCCAGAGTTCAAGCACCACAACCAACCGAAAATAATTTGAGCTAGTTTGGAGGCAGAAGTAGGAGTATCAAGGCCAATCTAGATAAAGTTAGCATGAAACCATATCTGAAAAGGTAAAAAAGCAAAAGAATTGGGGGTATGACTAAAGTAGTGACATGGTTTTGTACTAACTGGGACACCCTGAGCTCAATCTCAGAATCAGAAAACAAAGAAAAAAAATCTTGGATGTTACAGTGCAGTATTGTTTGTGGGGATCTCTCTGTCTTTGGGGAATTTCTTTTATTTTTGAAATGTTGCTGATTGTAGATAGTAACATTAGACTACTGATGAAATGACATTCACTTCAGGGGCTATGAAGAGCAATTGAGTTTTGGTAGGTTTCATCTCATTCACTTGTAGGCCAGGGTCTGTGTCAATTCCAAATCAAAAAGTTCAGCCTCATAAAATATACCACTATCAATTCAATGGTCTAGTGCACTTGAAGTGAAGCTTTTCTTTACCTTAAAAGAAGAATGTAGTGTGTCTTATGAAAAAGCTTGAGAGTATTAATGAAAATGAATTATTGCTTACCACCAGGAAGGTGACAGTATCAGACAAAGTGATTCAAAGAGCTTTCCCATTATGAAACATAGGACACCCCCCAACCACCACACACACAGTCATATCCATTGGGCTTGCCAATGACTTAAGCATTTATGTGCAGAAAGTCCTTTCGCACACTAAGCTCTTGTACTCACAAGCTCACAGATGCCCCCACTCCCAACACTTCCATTTTCAATAGACTCAAGCAGGCAAGGGTTAAATATGTAAATTTGGAAAATTTGCGTATACCAACAAAGTGGATTTCTTCTCCCCTGGGTCCACAAGAAAGGAAAATACCCCCATACTGGAGTAAGCATGTTCATCCCAAAGGTTGTCACCAAACATCTGAGTACTGTGGAGGGGGCCCCAAATCAAAAGGCAGAGAGCTCTATTAGCTCCAGGGAAAGTGAAGTCAATACCCTAGTGGGGGTAAGGAGGTTAATTGCTTCACTCATCCTCAAATCTCTAACCCCAGGCAGTGAGGGAGAAAAGGGAGCACTCCACCCCACATGACTGTACTGAAATAGGGAAGGAAAGGGAATGCATGCAATGGGACTAAAGTTCAAGTGAGTGATATAGAGAAGGGAAGTGAGCAGGCACAGACACGGGCAACCACCAGGAGCTCAAGTTTCCTTGGCAGCAGGAGGCTAAAAGAAAGGACAGAAGTGACTCTGGCTGTGATGGGGATCTTACTGGGCATGCTGCTACTGGGGCACCTAACTGTGATTACCTATGGTAAGGAAGCAAGTTAGGGCCAGCTGGCTATGACTGGCAGCTGGTCCAGGCAAAAATATTGGGGACTGGTGTTGATGGAATGCTTACTGAGAAAAAAAACTATTTGTGCTAGGCAGGTGAATGTCTCTATTAATGTGATTGCTTTGGTGAGTTTTGGGCAGAAGAGAGGGAGTGGGTTAAAGCTGATGACCAATCTGGGAGGCAAGCTTTATAGAAAGTGACAAGAAATTTCCTTCTTGGAAAATTTCTAATGTATGTCAGGGACAGCAAATGTAACCCAAAGCCCATCCCCTATTTGAAGTTCTACCATCAGACAAAATGTATCTCTGTGTTTCCAAGCTTTGTTTTCTGTTAAGATATTTGTGTGTGTGTGTGTGTGTGTGTGTGTGTGTGTGTGTGTGTGTGTGTGTGTGTACTGGTCCTGGGATTTGAACTCAGGGCTTGGGCACTGTCCCTGAGCTTTTTTTGTTCAAGTCTAGTAGTATTCTACCACTTGAACAACTTCACTTTCTAATTGGTTTTGTTGTTTTCTTTTGTGTTTTTTTTTGGTTTTCATTTTTGGTGGTTAATTGTATATAAGAGTATTCCAGATTTTCTTGCCCAGGCTGGCTTTGAATTACAATCCTCAGCTCTCAGCCTCCTGAGTAGCTAGGATTATAGACATGAGCTACTTGTGCCAGGCTTTGCTAAGATAGTCTACAAAGAACACATGTGGCCTAATAGTAGATGAGACCTTACAAAAATGCCTTATAATATAGACATATTTTCAGTTTATATGGTAGTTTATTACCTTCCCAGACTGTCTAGTATATCCAGATGGTACTTATAGTACTTAAAGTAAATCCACATCCCTGTGGCTTCTATCTGAAGACTCCAGCTCTCCTCCTCCTCCTCCTCCCTCTCCTCCTCCTCCTCTTTCTTCTTCTTCTCTTCCTCCTCCTCTTCCTCCTTCTCCTCCTCCCCCTCCTCCTTTCCTTCTCCTCCTCTTCCTGCTTCTTCTACTCCTTCTCCTTTCTTCTTTCTTTTGTTCTTTCTTTTTCTTCTCTTCTTTCTTGAACTTGAATTCCAGGCCTGAGTGCTTTTCCTAAACTTTTTCATTCAAAGCCAGTGATCTATCATTTGAATCACAGCCCCATTTCTGGTGGGTTTTTTCCCCATTTAACTCGAAGTGTCAAGGACTTTCCTGCCCTAACTGACTTTCAATATATGATCCTCAGATCTCAGCCTTTTTGAAGTAGTTAAGATTAAAGGCATGAGCCACTGGTGCCTAACACGCTCTGCTTATTGTAGTCAATGAAGCATATATCTACTCCCTTTCTCTGTAACAGCCCTTCAAATGTTTGAAGCAAGAAAGCTATGACCCCTTGACCTCTTAATTCCTCTCTTCTCCAAGATAAACAGCCCTAACTCCTTCAATTAGTCTCTATAGTACTTCATCTCTTACCCCATCCTGGGCTACTTCACTGTAGATATGCCCTGATTCTCAAGGCTGTTTGTGGGAGCCTAATGCTAGATTTTTGTCCCAATAGAGGCTAGACTCTCTTATAGTAGTCTTATTTCTGTGGGTCTTCCTCCCTGTTCATTAACATCCCTAAGAAGTAGATGTCTCTTCAGCACACTAAGCCTGAGTAATAGTATAGGGAAACTCAAGATTGGGTAAGGGGACTCTTGCAGAGCCTCTACTTGTTTTTCATATTCCTATACAGAGAATCTAGATAGGTTTTAGTTTGATGGCACTTTAGGATAAGAAATCTAGTTTCCATAGATGACTCAGACTAGTTTACCCTTATCTGGCTCTGTGACACATCAACTCCTAGAACTTTGAGTTTGAAAGAATTCAGTGTATATTCTATCAAATTAACAAGAGTGAGGGAAAGTATATATAGGAGATGGATGGATGAGAATGTTGAAAGGGGTGACATTGATCAAGATGAAATGTATTCATAAACTGCGTTGTTAAATGACATCTCTTTGGTACAACTACTTAAAGATAAAAAATAAAAATAAAAAGACCCTGAATAAAGTCAACTGAGAGGAAAAAGAATTTGACCCTTGGGCTACAGCACTAGTGGAAAACTTAAGGTGCCTGAAAAATCAACTTATTTCTACAATATTTTTATTATCTAGCAGGTTCCTTTTTTCTTGGCACTGAGGTTTGAACTCAGAGACTGGAGCTTTGTTCTGCCTTTTTTTAATCAGTTGTGGGGCTTGAATTCAGGATCTAAGCACTGTCCCTGAGCCTCTTTTTGCTCCAGACTGGTGCTTTAACACTTGAGCCACAGTACTACTTCCAGTCTTCTGGCAGTTAATTGGAGATAAGACTCTCACAGACTTTCCTGCTCGTGCTGGCTTCCAACCATGATCCTCAGATCTCAGTTTCATGCATAGCTAGGATTAAAGGTATAAGCTACCAGCACCCAGCTTTTTTTTCTGCGTTTTTGTTGAAGAGTGGCACTCTGCCACTTAAGCTACACCCCCACTTCTGGATTTGTGTTGGAGATAAATGTCTCCTGGACTTGTGTACCAAGCTTTGATTCAAACTAAAGTCTCAGTCTCTTGGGCAGCTAGGATGATAGGTGTAAGCCACCCATACCTGGCTCTAGCTGGCTTTATAGCATACCACCTCACAATCTTCTTCCTGCCTGTCTGGGATTTCTTAAGGTAGGACTAGGCTTTGGAAGAACATTAGATGAATGTTAACTTTAAATCCTATGTATGGATGTGTTTATGCAGGACAGGAAGAGAGGTGGATTATAGAGGAAAGAGACAAGAGAGAAAGAGATCATATCAGTATTCCTGTGTGTCTAAATCTTACATTCAGTGATCTCCTCTAGCCCTGAAAAGAGGTCTTGCATTTGTGTATAAAGTCTTACTCTATAGACCTGAGGCTTAAGCTACACTGAATGGCCAATAGTGCCTTCACCCTCCCTGGAGCTCAGTGTCCCTATCTCATCTGTACATTGAAATTAGCTTGGCTGGCCTCAAAGATACCACCAGCTACAATGCACTGTGAGAATAAGACTTCACTGAAAAAGACTCTGGGAGCTGGGCACTGGTGGCTCACACCTGTAATCCTAGCTTCTCAGGAGGCTGAGATCTGAGGATCACGGTTCAAAGCCAGCCCAGGCAGGAAAGTCCGTGAGACTCTAATCTCCAATAAACCATCAGAAAAAGCAGAAGTAGCACTGTGGCTCAAGTAGTAGAGTGCTAGCCTTGAACTGAAGAGCTGAGGGACAGCACCCAGGTCCATAGTTCAAGCCCCATAACCAACCAAAAAAAGGCTCTTGGGTTCAGAATCAGCTGTGCAAGTCTCTTCCTGTGTGCTAAAACACATATGTAAATAATAATAATAATAAGTCCTCACATCTACATTTTATAAACATTTTAAACATTTTATAAACATTTTAAGCATTTTCTAAACTTTATTGAAGCTAGTTCTCTATCCAAGAGATAACTGAGGATAAGCCAGTCATGGGGACTGGGAGCACAAGATGTGGGAAATCTCACTCTTTCTGTGAGGATGAAGAAGAAAGCTGCAGAAAGGGACTCAGAATGGGTCCTAGAAAGAGCTTTTCTCTTCTTTTCTTCAGGATCGTTGGGTAGGCAGGCCTCAGACTTTTGCTTTCCTAAGTCCATGTCCTAGTTATTGTCCCCTCTTTCTCAAGCCAAACCCTCCTTCAACAAAGTGTTCAGCCCTGGTTTTTTTTCCTGACTATTATTTAAAGGAAACCCAGCTTTTACTGGAAGGGGGAAAATAACATTTTATAAAGGCTTTCCAGTTGGCAGATGGGGGCATTTTTTTCCAAGTAATAAGAAGGATATCCCTGCAGCCACGTCACGTAAGTATACATAACTATTGCTGATTTCTATTGTGCTTCATGGTTTATTAACAGATAAATAAAAGAGAATAACATGTGAAAATCTTGTTTTAAGCCTCCAGAGCCCAACTGTCTGTGAGACTTTAGGTAAGCCCCTCTCTCTCTCTCTCTTTCTCTTTCTCTCTCTTTCTCCCCCCTCTCTGTCTTTCTCTGTCCTACTCTCCATGTCTCCCACTCTGTCTCTCTCCAGCTTTTCCTTGTCTATGTGTACTCATGAGAAAATGCTAAGTGGTTTGTAAAAGCCTTCCCAGTTATTCCATTTCAGAAATCTCCAAATTCCAACCTGCTTTGTCCCTCAACCCATGTTGTACCAAGTAGTTTGTTGTTTAGTGTTTTTGAGGCATCTATAATGGGCAGAGCACTTCCCCAAAAAGTGGAGCTTTCTTTCCCACTCTTCCAAGAAAATCAAATGTATTGCTTTATTTGACCAACATTTTACAGTGGCTGCCAGGTCCTCCCTATAACTGAATGCTGTGTCCGCTCTGGCTACCCTATCATCTACAAATGCCCATAGGTTAAGAGAGTCTATCAGCCTGGTGAAGGTGGCTATTATTATTACTTTAGTAACTTCTCCTTTGGGTCTCTATTAGAACTAACATTGATCAAATCAAATTAAAATCTGTTTAATTAGGGAAGACATATTAAAGCCTTCTATAGGACAGAAAGTATTAATACTAATACAAGTTTTACTTGAGTGATAAGACAAGACTGACATTTATTCAGTCCCATTCTGTTAAGTGCTTTCATTTAATTTTAATAAGAACCCTTCATGGAATATTTACTATTTATTTCCTTTCATTGATAGTGGCCAAATTTAAAGTTTATATATATTTCATAATTTGTCCAAGGCCATACAGAAAGAATTAAGATAAGGTAGACTTTGGATCATGATGGTTATGTTCTACTATCTTATGCAGCCTTTGACTACTACCTTTTTTATCTCACTAGGTTCTCTTACCAGGTATTTTCCTAAATTCTATGGGCACAAAAGAGGTAGTCAGAAGATATAAGTCAATGCTAATGTGCTTTCACTTTGGAGGTCAGGGAACACAAAGAATAGTGCAATGTTTTCCTCTGTGTGTTCCATTTACTTTTTGTATGCTACTAATGAAGCAAGAGAAAAAATAAGAAGAAGATTAAATGATGGGTAAGAAGTAGAATCAATGAGAGTGGAAGAAAATGTAAACAGAATAAAATCATGCCTTTCTGAAAAGTCTGGTTACCAATGTCTCCATTCAAAGGTAGAAGAGTCAAGTCAGACTTCTAAAAATGAACTTCAAAATTGTGAAATTGGGACTGTGTGGCCATGTTCCTAATAGACCAGAGTAGACTGGGAGAATTTCCAGCAAATTCCCTGAAAGAAATGCAATCCTGGCCTTGCAGCTACCCTAAGTTCAGAGGGTAGACATGCATACACATAGACAAAGCAGCTCCAGATGTTCTCACAGCAGAATGCTTCTCTGGTGCCCAGAAGGAAAATGTGAGAATGTTTTTCAGTGGACATAAGGGAGATTGGGGAGGGTTAGAAGAAGATCAGTGGGAAAGAGTCCATTAAACCAAAAGGTTCAGATGGTTTTCTTGAGGCCTAAGGAGTCTATGTTTATGCTTGCATGTGGCCCAAAATATGTATAGACATATGTGTCCATGTGTCTATGATGATTATCAACTGTATATGCATGCATATATAAGCATGAACTGCTTTCAATACTGCAGTGAAAACTACCACCCGGTGAAAGGTTACCATTAGCTAGAATATGGAATTATTTAACCTGTGTCTATTACAGTTATTTGCACTGGACCATCTCAGGTTGGACGGGACTTTGGGAAGAAATGTTTTCTAAGAGCCAAACAGAGCTCAGAAATTCCCCAGATGGCTTAACCTATACATAGAAAACTTCAGTTATAAAGTTCATTTTGTGAGGACAAACTAAAATCTTCCCCTCCTTGTTTCCCATTGCTGGGTCTGAATTCTGCTGCCTGCCAAGTCTGAAACTCTACAGAGAATATTGGGTGGATTTAGCAACATGAAGTGGTGTTTATTTATTCTTTCCTCCTCAAGGCCTTTATCATGTCTAAAAAATGCTGTTCATATTCCAAGAGTCTCTGGTGAGAACCCAAGCCAAAGGCTTAACTTCAGTATCCTCATTGAGAAAAGCCTTAGTGCTTAACAACATATTTTAGGAGCAAGAAAGCATATCCTCACCAGAAGATGTCATCTTCCATCTGCTAAACTAAAACTTGGGGATCCTGGGATAAATACAAAGAAAATAGCTTAAGGTTGAAACCACCTTTCCTAGGGGCAATATAAAGACATGGCCTGGGTACAATTCCCCACTCCTGGTTCCACTGAATAGAACAAAATCCTCAGAGTATGAGCTTACCGATACAGAATTATGATAGCAGACACTACCTATTCTGATGTTCCCATCTTTTTCCTCTAGATTTCCCTCCCAAGGAGGGAAAATTCATTTTCTACCAAGGAGAAATGTCTCTTTTCTTGAACCACCATCACTAGCATAGCCAACTCCAAGGTAATTACTCAGACCCTTTTCTTCTCCAAACCAAGCAAGGACAAAATCTTTTCCTCCTCAGGATTGAATTTTCCAATGTATCTTTGATGAGTACTAACAGAAACCAAAAGGGAAATAAACAGAAAAAAGAAATCAGAACAAAAAAAATCAGGCTAACAAAGTGCAGGTTTCTAGCTAAAGATTTTGTTGGACAAGAATTTACAATCAGGCCCTTTCCTCACCCTTCAGAATTGTCTGTTGCCTGCTTCATCCTCCCTTCCTGAAAAGAGTTAGATCTGGGACCCTAATCATTGAGCTCTTCTCCTAAGAGAGCAAGAGGGGAAATGGCACAGAGCCTTTTCTAACCAACCCTTGAAACCCCAGATCTCTAGGCTCATATTTACACAAAGTGAAATAGTACAGACCCAACTGTTCATTTTGCTCCTACATCTCTTTTGGAAATTGTTAAGAGAATTTTTTTCGTAGAAGTCTACACTTCAATAGTTGGTAGAATTTCACCACATGATCCATGAAGCACATTGGTCATTTAGGGTGGGACTTTATCCAGGTCACCTCCTAGCATGGCAGTGATGTAAGAAGGACCTGAGACTTGTAGAGGTAACCAGTGTAAAGGAATTGCCTTCTGAGTACTGGTTTTGATTGGTGTGAACACTGGCATAGAACAAAAGAGCACAAGGCATATGAAAGTATGATAGAAGAAAAGTTGAAAAGTGCTTCTCAGATAAAACTTGAGGCCTGTCTCTGCTACCCTAGTTTCTAGATGAGCATGACATCTATGTTTTCGTTCTTTGTTTCTTCTCTTTAGGTCACCCTATCCTGGAAGCACCAGAGAGGGTGACTGGGCCCTGGAAAGGGGATGTGAGTATTCCCTGCACCTATGGTCCTCTAGAAGGCTATACTCAAGTCTTGGTGAAGTGGCTGGTACAACGGCACTTAGATACAGTCACCATCTTCCTAAGAGACTCCACTGGTGACCATATCCAGCAGGCAAAATACCGAGGCCGCCTGCATATTCGCCATGGGATTCCAGGGGATGTGTCCCTCCAACTGGATACTATCGAGATGGATGATCGAAGCCACTACATGTGTGAAGTAACCTGGCAGACCCCTGATGGCAATAAGGTGGTGAGAGATAAGATCATTGAGCTTCAAGTCCAGAAACGTAAGTCACTGTGCAAGTAGAAAGGTGCTTAGAGGCAAAGACTCAATAGAGTACTGTCCTAGAAACTTCTGACAAAATGAGAGAGATCGATGGGCTTGTATATAAACTCTCATCAGTTCTATGTGCTAATCACAGGGAGTGGACAGATAGAGGATCTTTGAAGTCCTACTCCCATACTAAAACTTAAGTGTTGGAATAGGTTTGTAGCTTTCAAATCTCTACCTCTTCCAGTGTCTTAGAAATCTTGGCATTTGTTTTCCTTATACGCTGGGCCTTAAAATTCATAAAAATGAGTATACCTTACCAGGAGGTATTGGAGAGTAGATAGCTTCTGATAGAAAAGCTCTGGAGAAGCTACCTTAAGAATTATACAAAGATCTGGGGCTGGGAAGGTGGCTCAGTGGTAGAGCACTTGCCTTGCATGCCTGAGGCCCTGGGTTCAATTCCTCAGCACCACATAAGCAAAAAAAAAAAAAGCCGGAAGTGGCACTGTGGCTCAAGTGGTAGAGTGCTAGCCTTGAGCTGAAGAGCTGAGGGACAGTGCCCAGGCCCAGAGTTCAGGCCCCATGACCAGACCAAAAAAAAAAAAAGAATTATACAAAGATCTGTACCTGGTAATCCAAGAATGCAAATACCTAGGCATTGGTTGTTCAATCCTATAATCCTAACTACTCAGGAGGCTGAAATCTGAGGATCATGGTTTGAAGCCAACCTGGGGAAAAAAGTTAGTAAGACTTTATCTCCAATTAAACAACAAAAAGCCAGAAGTGGAGCTGTGTCTCAAGTTGTAGAAAGCTAGTCTTGAGTGAAAAAGCCTGGTGAAAGTGCAAGACCCTGGTTCAAGCCCTAATACCAGCACATACACCACACACACACACACACACACACACACACACACACACACACACACACCAGTGTTTAGATAATTCAAAAACAATTTGCTGATAGTCCAACTCTGTAGTTTTCAACATACAAAGGTTTCATTTGCCTTATGGGCACTGTTACTTGACTAAAATATATTATTTTGAGCACAAATAATATGTGTATTTATATTAGTATTTTAGTGCCTAGGTTCTTTTTATATTCTTATTGATGTGTAAAATTATATAATATTGCTTCCAATTTATCAATAATTTCTCTCTTTTTGATTATATAGTTTAAATATTACTGTGACTCTAAAATATTAAAATGTGTTGTAAACATTAAGGGTCTTTCTCACCTGTAAAAAAACAATTTGAGCCTAAAACAACCATTATTTTCTTAAGGCAGTTGATTTTTAACTCCAGATAGTCACCTGATCCTCCAAAGAAAACCCTTTTCATTTCCATTGCAATTTCCCTTCTGCCATTCCAATTTATGAGCTCCTTTAGTTCCAGTGGCAGATATACACAAATCTTTATGCCCAGTGGAGATGACGTGGCCTTGTATCCCCATGTTTGAATGATTTCCCAGATGTCTTCTTTTGTCTTTCCTTTTACAGTCTCTGTCTCCAAGCCCACAGTGACAACTGGCAGTGGTTATGGCTTCACAGTGCCCCAAGGAATGAGGATCAGCCTTCAATGCCAGGCCCAAGGTTCTCCCCCAATCACTTATTCTTGGTACAAGGAAGAGACTAATAACCAGGAACCCGTCAAAGTAGCAACTTTGGGAACCTTGCTCTTCAAGCCTGCAGTGGTGGCTGACTCAGGATCTTATTTTTGTACTGCCAAGGGCAGAGTTGGTTCTGAACAGCGCAGTGACATTGTAAAGTTTGTGGTTAAAGGTAAGGACCTCTTTATCCTAGTATCTGCACAAAACTACCTGGAAGCAGTCATACCTCAGAATAGATAGAACCCTTGTGGCAGAGAAAGGGGGGGATTGGATCCTGAATAGGCAATGATTATACACACACAACACAAACACAATTCGAAACTGGAAATAGCAGGGTCAGAGATAATCCCTGTCTCTAAAGACGGCAAAAGGCAAAGTGACATTTAGTAGGTATCTCCTATTTGTCAGATACAAAAGTTCAATACCTTGACATACATTATCTTGTGTAATTTTGCTAATATCTAATGAGATGTCTATAATTACATCATTTTACAGAACAGGAAATTGAGTCAAAAGGAGGAAATCAGAGTAAGAGCAAGAAGTGCAAGAGTGGCTATTTTTATAGCACTGTCTCAAGAGTATCACAAAGTATGCCTTGAAGACTGCAGGCTAGCATTAAATGAAAGGCTCAGAAGTGATATAACCATTGTATTTTCTTGTCTGCTAAGAGATCTTCTTAAATGAGGAGACAATGTTGGTTAACAATAAACAAAATCTTACTGCAATGGTCTAGGAACTAACCTACAGAAAAGCAAAAGTATTCTATCATCCCTTAGAAAGTTCTTACTTTGGGGTTTCTGGACATGTTCTCTGTGCTTAACCAGACTATTGTATTTCGTGCCCTTTCTACTATGGCTGATGGTTTCTCATGGTTGAAAGCTGTTTCTATTTTTAAACTAATTCTTTCATTTGTTGGCTTTGTTAATTTGGGTTTGTCTTAGTTTATGAAATAAGCCTAGACCTCTTCCTATTTTCTTTTAATCTCTCCTTCTTAAGGCAAAATCAAAGGTTGAAGTCATCATGAAGATGAGAGTACAGTTAATCAAGGCCTTTTATTTATGAATACTCAGTGTTCAAGCACTGCCCCATACTGTCACATTAGGAAATTGAGGTTCAGAGAACTTACTCTCAATTTTCCACCCTGCTTTGTTGTCTGAACCAAGTCTCTTGGCTTCCCCTGGCCTGTATTTCTCTCCACTCCAACCTAGTCCTTAAGTTTTACTACCTATTTATATTTTGTAGGGAGCTCTCAAACCTTCACCACTCTACTTTACCTCTGCAATAGTTCTGTTCTGCAATAGTCCTGTATGCCATGCCTTTGCTCATAGATAGCTGAGCTCTGCTGACTAAACAAAATACAAATATGCACTTGAACTCACTTAGGGTTTATTCTCTGCCACATGCACCCTCTGTCCCCATGCTGCTCATTTACTCATCTTTGTCTCATTCCTTATATCAGTAGCTCAGAGCATTTCCACTTCGTTTCAGGCAGCCAGTCCTACTTCAAGAAGATGAGGGGAAAGATCCAGACCCCCTTCAGATGTGATTTCTTTCCACTACCCTCTGTTTTGTCTTGGTACTTCCTTACTTGTTTCCTCTGGACTAAGAATAAGATATGCTTTTCTGCTTTTCTCCTCTTAACAACAAGTCCTCCTCTAGAATTCTGTGTGTATGCATGCTCTCTGTCTCTGTCTCTGTCTGTCTGTCTATCTGTCTGTCTGTCTCTGTCTCTGTCTCTGTCTGTCTTTGTCTGTCTCTGTCTGTCTCTGTCTCTCTGTCTCTGTCTCTGTCTCTCTGTCTCTGTCTCTGTTTCTCTCTCTCTCTCTCTCTCTCTCTCTCTCTCTCTCTCTCTTTCTCTCTACCTGTGAGCACATGTGCATGCACACACATGTACCAGTAGTGGGACTTGAACTCCAGGTCTTATGTTCTCACTTAGCTTTTATTCACTCAAGGCTGTTGTTCTATGTCAGAGAGAGAGTGAGAGACAGAGACAGAGAGAGACAGAGACAGAGAGACAGAGATGGATACTTAGTATTTATGTATCCAAGCCTAATATGTATATATAAATAACATATATTTGTTCTTTAAAACTCTTTCTCTCTACCTGTCACCACATCTCACACCCTTATGAAGAAGGTATCTTCCATCAGCTGTGCCTCTCAATTTACCACAAACTTTGCAAACTGAAATTATCATTGACCTCAAAAAAAACCAAGGCCCCAGGTTTTTCCAGTGTTCTTTAAAACATTTATCAAGAACACCCCTTTCCCTTGGGTCTCCTACAATCTGTAAGACAGGTCCTTTTCAGAACATGTTGATGGCTTTTCTTTCATTCACCCTTTAATTATAAGTGTTTTCAAAGGCTTCAAGTGTCTTCTTCTCTTCATGTATCTGTAATATCAGAGGATTGTTATTGACTTCTGGACCTTCAAGTATCACGCTATGTGAATGGGTCTCAAACCATAATCTTATCCTTAATTTAGTTTGGTATTTTTGTGTCAATACTGGAATTTGGACTTGGAGCATTTTTGCTCAAAGATACCACTCTACCATTTGAGCCACAGCTTCCAACTCCAGATTGTTCTGTGCTGGATTGGAGATAAGAGTGTCATAGACTTTTCTGTCCAGGCTGGCTTTGAACCTTGATCCTCAGATCTCAATCTCCTGAATAGCTAGTATGAGCCACCAGTGCCCAGCTTACCCCTAATTTGTCCCCTTAGTACTATATCCAGTGTCTAATTGCCTTTTGGACAGCTTCATTTCTATTATCTCATCTTTGTTGAATTGTACCTTTGTTCACTAATTTCCCAAACAATTAGGGAATGTCATTAAGTATTCCTAATTTACTTCTTACAGTCAATCTTAATAATCACTAAATAATATAAATGCAACTATTGAATTATATTTTGTTTGTTGGTTGTTTGGTTTAGTGCTAGAGCTTAAACTCAGGGCCTGGGCACTGTCCCTTTAGGTTTTTTTTTGTTTGTTTTTGTTTTGTTTTATTTTGTTTTTGCTCAAGGGTAACACTGTACCACTTGAGCCATATAACCAAAATCTGGCTGGCTGGCTTTTTCTCTTTTCTTTCTTTCCTTCCTTCCTTCCTCACTCCCTTCTTTGCTTCCTTCTTTCCTTCCTTCCTTTTCTTTTCTCCTTCCTTCTTTCCTTCCTTCCTTTTCTTTTCTCCCTCCCTCCCTTCTTCCTTCCTTCCTTCCTTCTTCCTTCCTTCCTTCCTTCCTTCTTCCTTTCATTCTTTCCTTCTTCTTTTCTTTCTTTTTCCCCTCCCTCCCTTCCTCTTGCTTTCCTAGTACTAGAATTTGAAGTCAGGGCCTCATGGTTGCTGGTTTACTTGCTCAGTTGGTACCCCATTACTTCAACCACTTCAGTCTGGCTTTTTGCTGTTTATTTTGGAGATGGAGTATCTCAGAGTTTTCTACCCAAGCTAGTTGCAAATGGCAATCTCCCACATCTCAGTGTCCTGAGTAACTTTGATCATAGGTATGGGTCACTGGCACCTGGCTCTATCAGCTTACTTTCTGACAAATTTCCTAATTCCATCTATGCCCATGAGGTCCTTCCCTTTGTTCTTCTGCTGCTATTTTTGTTTCCTCTCAAAACTTCATCCTCTTCATCCTGATGCTTGTGATGTTTTAGAGGCTTCTTGACACTTTTTTATCTTAATATGGCACCTGTTGTTCTTCCCCAGACCCTGATCCATGAAAAAGATCACTTCTTAAGTCACTCCTTTTCCCCATATCCAAATAGTCTCATGGTGTGTGTGCGTGTGTGTGTGTGTGTGTGTGTGTGTGTGTGTGTGTGTGTGTGTGTGTGTGTGTGTTGGTACAGTGGCTTGAACTCAGGGTCAAGGCACTATCCTTGACCTTTTTTTTTTTTACTATTCAAGGCTGGTACTATACCATCTGAGCTACTACTCCACTTCTAGCTTTGTACTGCTTAATTTGAGATAAGAATCTCATGCAATTTTCTGCCCAGACTGGCTTTGAGCCAGGATCCTCATATTTCAGCCTCCTCAATAGCCCAGCGATCTCAAAGTCTTTTAGCCTTGAAATTTTAGGCTTCTAAATGGTCTTCCCCAGCCTATCCTTCTTCAAGATATCAACTTATTGATATCTGGTACTGGATTTCTGTTTTATGAGACTAGACTGTAAAATCCAAGCATTCTGCCTTTCTATTCATAGCTGATCTCCAGAGTCCAACAAAAGCTAGTCTCAGAACTGTGTCCCAAATTCAATTGAGAAACTTTCACTCACTTCTTCAGAAACCTTCAGTTACTTTCCATGGCCTCTTCCATCCAAAGAACAAAACACAAACCCTTTAGTCTGCCCCCAGCCTTGTCTTCTCATATATTTCCCCACATCCAGAACAGCATGCTGTCCCCTCTACTTGCAATGTTATTCCATGTTCTCAGAGAACAGAAATTCTACTGATCTTTCACTATTGATTTTCATATGTAAGAAAGTGTGAACCCTGAATTCAAACCACAGAAAATAAGAAACACAAAAAATAAAAGTGAGTCAGAATGTGACTTTCTGCCCATTATTTTTCACTTAGCACAGTCTTTTCAAAGCTCATTAATGCTGAAGCATGTATCACTACTTCATTCTTTTTAGTACCTAAAAATGTAACATTACATACATATATACTTAGCTATCCATTCTTGTAATTAGCATTTGGATTGTCTCTCATTGTGGCCTTTATGAATCAACAATTGCAATGAAGAATTGTGAAAAAAATTGTTCTACAGACATTTTTTCATTTCCTTTAGGTACATGACTAAGAATGCAATGGCAAAGTCACAGAGTAACTTTTTGAGAAGGTGACAAAGGCTTCAAGTGACAGTACAAGTAGAATTGGAGGATAGGAAGCCTGCAGATTCTCCACATCCTCACTAACATTTATTTTATGTTTCCTTTTGGTTTTCTTAGCTTACATTCGTTATACAGGGCAGATTTCATTGTGACATTTCCCTATAGGCTTATACTTTATTCCAATCAATCTCACACCCAATTTCACTACCCCTGGCTCATTTATCCCCTGTCTATAACAATTTCAACAGATTTCATTGTTCTGTTTTTATGATTACAATCTTTTTCAATTGTAGCCACCTTTTTTAGTTAAGTTTTTAATTTTAAAAAATTTTCCAGGTACTGATGGCCTATGCCTCAAATCCTAGTCAGGAGGATGAGATCTGATGACTAACGCTTGAAGCTAGCCTGGAAATCTTAACTCCAATTAACCAACAAAATGCCAGAAGTGAAGTTGTGGCTCAAGTGGTAGAACATCGTCATGAGAGTAAAAACCAAGCTTGAGTTCAAGCCCTAGTACTTCCAAAAAAATTTAATTGCTGACCTCCTACTAGGTGTGAAGTGGAATTTCACTGTGGATATGATTTACATGTCCCTAGTGATCGTGTTGTTCATCATCTGTTTAGGTACTTATTGATCATTTATATGCCTTTTAAAAATGTATATATAGTACACATTAATGAAATTCAGTGTAATATTTCCACATGGGCATATAGAACACACTAATCAAATTTGATTTCCTTTTGTGCACTAACCTATACCCTCCCCAACATTCATTCATTTCTACTTTGCATCCAGATCCACCATTTTTCTGTGGGTCTTGGAGCTTGAACTCAGGGCCTGGGTACTGTCCTTGAGATTTTTCACTCAAGGCTAGCACTCTATCACTTTGAGCCGCAGTTCCATTTTTGTCTTTCTGATGGTTAATTGGGGATAAAAAAAAAGTCCCATGCATTTTCCTGCCCCACTAGGCTTCAAAACATGATCCACCTTTTATGCCTTCTATATACAAGAATAAATATATATGGTACTTGTCTCTGTTGGCTTATTTCACTTAAAACAAAGGCTTGCAGTTTCATTAGTTTTACCTCCAAAAACAGGATTTCTTCTTTGTTATGACTGACATTATTCTGTGTGTATATAAATCTCATTTTCATTATCCATTAATCTGATGATATATACCTACACTGTTTACGTATCATTGCTTCTTCAAATACTGCCAGAGTAAATACACTATGCTGAGTTCATTTCCTGTAGATGTATATCCAGAGGTGGAATAGCAGGATCATAGGATAGATTTTTCTATACTGTTCATGAGGGTCATATAAATATTTGCTCTCACCAATAGAGGATAATATTTTATTTTTTTCCACACTCATACTAGCATTTCTTTTTTAGTGTGAGTCCTAGGGCTTGAACTCAGGGCCTAGATGCTATCCCTGAGCTTCTTTGCTCAAGGCTAGCACTCTACTACTTGAGCCACAGCTCCACTTCTGGCTATTTACTGGTTGCTAACTGGAGATAGGAGTCTCATGGACTTTTCTGCCTCAGCTGGCTTTGAACCACAATCCTCAGATATCAGATTCCTGAGATGGTAGGATTACAGGCATGAGTGGGCCACCAAAACCCAGCAGCAATTGTTAGGTTTTACAATAGTAATTCTTAACTGTAGTGAAATGGTATTTCATTGTATTTTTACTCATATTTTCACATCTAATGATATTTAACCATTTGTGTTTTCTTTTAAGAAATGTCATTTTCCATTTTTCTAAATGAGATTGCTTGGTTTTAAGATTTTTTTATTTAAAAATTTTTAAACCTCTGTAAGTTGTCTTTCAACTCTGTGTAGGAACTTTTGAATTTGATATAATCTTAATTGTTTATTTTGCCTTTGTTTCCTGTGCTTTGAGGTCATATACTAAAAAATCACTTTCTATACAAATATCTTGAAGTGTTTCTCTATGTTTGCTTCTAGTTTTTTCACTTCCTCTATTTAAGTCTTTGATTCATTTTGATTTTTTTTTGTACAGGATGAGAAATAGGGGTCCGATTTCAATCTTAGAAGCATTAAATTTTCCCAGAAACATTTGTTGAAGAGGCTCTCCTTTCTCTAATACTTTTGACACTTTTGTCAAGAATCCATCATGTGAATTTATTTCTAGGACCTTTATTTTGTTCTATTTGACTGTTTGCCTATTTTTAATATAATTTTATTGTTATTATTAACATGTTGTACAGAGGGGTTAGCATATCATAAGTCAGGTAATGAGTACATTTCTTTTTGGACAATGTCATCCCTTACTTTGTTTTCCCCAGTTTCCCCTGCCATCCCTGCCATGAAATTGCTTATGTATTCTGATACGTGTACCATGCTGTTTTGGAAACTGTGCCTATATGGTATATCATTAGTTTAGGTTTTGTGCTGGCTCCAACCTTCTTTCAGAACTGCCCATCCAAATTCTTTAGTCATTTTTTATCAGTCATTGGGTTTGAACTCAAAGCCTGGGCACTGTCCCTGAACGTCTTTGCTCAGGGCTAGCACTGTACTAGTTTAAGCCACAGCACCATTCCCAATTTTCTGGTGGTTAATTGAAGATAAGAGTCTCATGGACTTTCCTGCCCAGACTGGCTTAAAACTGAGACCCTTGGATCTCAGCCTCTTGAGTATCTAGGATTACAGGTAAGAGCCACCAGTGACTGATTAGCCATTTTTTTGGGGGGTGTCCGGTTGTAGGGCCTGAACTCTGGGCCTGGGCACTGTCCCTCAGCTCTTCAGCTCAAGGCTAGCTCTCTACCACTTGAGCCACAGTACCACTTCCTTCTTTTTTCTGTTTGCTTATGTGGTGCTGAGGAATCGAACCCAGGTCCTCATGCATGCAAGGCAAGCACTCTCCCACTGAGCCACCTTCCCAGTCCCTGACTAGCCATTTTTAAATTGAGTTATTTGACCTTTGTGTAGTTGAGTCATGAGTTATTTATACATTTAGAATACAAGAGCCTTAAGAGTTAATTATATTTTTAGAATACAAGAGCCTTATCAAATACAAGATTTGCAAATCCTATTCCATATGCTAACTTTGTTTCTTTTTCTTTTATAATGTCTTTTTGTACCTTGTTATACACAAAAGACTTTAATTATTTTCTTTTTTATCTAGCTAGCTAGCTATCTTGCTCATATCTGGATTAGAACTCAGGGTATCACAGTAGCTTATTTTCTTGCTCATAGATGGTGTTCTACCACTTGAACCATGCCTCCAGCACAACTCTTTGGTCATTATTGGTAATAAAGTCCTGCAGGTCCTTGGTATTTTGTTCAATTTTTTTCACTCATATTTCTTTGTTTGCTTACTAGATAAGTTCAATGATCATATCTTCAAGTTAACTGGTGCTTTGTTCTACCTGCTTAAATCTGCTGTAGTGGATTTTTCTCCCTTTTTTTTTTTTTTGCTGGTCATGGTCTGAACTCTGGGTCTGGGCACTGTCCTTCAGCTCTTCAGCTCAAGGCTAGTGCTCTACCACTTGAGCCACAGCGCCACTTCTGGCTTTTTCTGTTTATGTAGTGCTGAGGAATCGAACCCAGGGCCTCATGCTTACAAGGCATGCACTCTACTGCTGAGCTACCTTCCCAGTCCAGATGTTTTTCCCTTTTGAGTTTTTCTTTCAGTTATTGTGCTTTTCAACTTTTGGATTTCTATTTGATTACTTTTTGTTTTTATTTTTTTTATTTGATTTGATTACTTTTAATAGTATCAGTCTCCTCCTAGCATTCTGTATTTAGTTTGGACCATTGTCATTTGTTTATTTTCCTTTCATTTTAACATACCTAAACTGTTTTGTCTAAATTTTCCATGCTTCCTCAGGGACAATTTCAGCATGGACAATTGCTATTGTTCCTGACTTATGTTATGTACTTTCCATTTTCTTTGCAAGTGTCATGTTTTAGAATAATGCAATATGGTGACTTTGATTCTCTTTCCCCCTAGGACTTGTTCACACAGATTGCTACAATAATTTTGACTTTCCTGAGAGAATATAGGCTTAGGTAGTCCTTTTCATGGATGAGCAATGAAGAGTCTACTTATGATATATTCTTAATGATTAGATGGAGATATTCTTAAAATATTCCTGGAGTAATAAACCTTCCAGTCTTTACCAGAGAAGTATGTTGCCTGTTAGGGTATGTCTTCAACATTTTCCTAGATAGTTTACATTGTGCCATAATGATCACCTACTGCTAATATAGAGACTCAAAGATAACCACAGATAGGAACTTAGGGCCTTCTCATGTCCTTCCTGAGCAGGCACAGCACTTATGCATGCAGGTAGCTTTCTAGATTCCCAGAATGCATGCAAATTTCTCACAGTCCCTATGCACATCTTAAATCCAGTTTTTCCTTTTAGGTTTTGGTTAATCTCTTGCTTCCATAGACTTTTATTCATTGTCTAAAGCATTTCTGTGACAAACATTCTCCCAATCTAATGAGGCTAATAATCTTGAGTAACAACTACAACAAGCCTTTGGAATCAAATCTCTCAGAGAAACACCAGACACCTCAAATACTCATAGCTGTTTTGGAATGAAGTCTATTCTGCTCATCCAACACCTAAAATGACATTTTCTTTTCTGACTACCTCTGAGCTGGGAAGAGTTAATAATGGATATAAATTTAAATGCCACACTTGCTATTCTTATTAAAGCTGGGATGTTTTACTTCCATAAATCTTCCCTGAGTTGCTACAAACCTTTAGATACTTTCTAAAATTTGGGCAAAAGTTGATTATGTCAAAATTTTCTAGTTACTTTATTGTTTTTGTGGAGGAGTGAATTTTTGGAAATCATTACTCAACCACTTTGACTGATGTCACACATTGCCACTTTCTCTGTGAGACTTCCAAAGACTTCACTCTCAAGAGAATAAATCACTAAATTTCAGTTAAACTATACTTTCTCATCCACGTTTACATACCCTGTGAACTTTAGCCACAGATTCCTTGAATATCTATGAGCCTTGACTTAACAACCCTGCCCTAGACTTGTGTGTGAGGGGTGAACAAGCAATGGAACTTGACAGTATAAGGGAAGTGTGGAGAAGTCTAATTGTGGACTTGACTGGCCTTTACATACTTCCTAATTTTCCTAGATCATTCAGCTGTTCACCCAGGGGTACCAGGGCCCTTGACTGAGCTCCCTTTCCCTTGCAGACTCTTCAAATCTACCCGAGACCAAGACTGAGACATCTACAACCACGCAATCCTCCATGGAAGGTGAGTTTTACTATGGTTCTGTGGGAGTATTAGAAGTATAAAATGGCATCATAGGAACTCAGACAAGAATTTCAATGCTATTCCCCAAGGCATAAAAGGTCATTGGATTGCTCAGAGAGAGCATAATAATAAAAGAATGAGAACAAGAGAAAAACAGCAAGGAATAAAGGATAGTTAAGAAGTAGATTAGTGATTATATACTCTTCTTTGTAATAATTGTAGCTCCAAAGAACACTGTGACTTAGCTTTTTCTCCTAGTCTTCCTTGCTGTGTGATTGGGTATATTGTTTCTCCTTTATGCACATTCTTCTTACTGACCATCTCTAACAATTAGAAGGTAAGATGCTCCACATCATAGCATAATGATCAGTGATATAGAGAGGCACTCTTAGCTTAACACATATTCCCAGAGAAGATTCCCAACTTTGTTGCCATCCAACATCTCACAGATCCTTTCTAGAAGAACAGCTTCTAACTCCAACCCTCTGTCACCATAGCAACAACCTGGGAAGTGGCCACTGAAGTGACCCCATCCTTGGACAGCACCACTGAAGTGGATAGATTCTTTGGGGAGACCGTTGCTGAACTAGGTAAGTCTAATGTCAAGATTTCTAACCTTCCTTTTAAAATCTGAGTCTTGTGACAATGACTCCCCACTGTTCTGTGTATTGTATGACTCTTAACTATCAAGTGCCCTAGGGTAGAGATGGTGTTGAAATGGAGAGGAAGAGGGATGAATAAGGTTACAGTGCTGTTAAAGGATTTCGTAAATATATTCTTAACATAGTCTCTGTTGTTATACCAACATAGTTCCCAAGCACTGTGAATAAGAATAGAAATAAGGACATAACTTCAGCTAATTGTTATAGGAAAAAGGACATTGGAACAGATAAGGATAATAACAGTACCTTATTACATAAACATAGGGGTTATCTCAGCAGCTTGCAACTAACTTTTTGGATTCCTATAAAATCTCAAGAATTTCCAAGTCAGAGTGTCAGGAATTAAGACCTTGAATGGTATTAAACTGGTATATACTGACGTGACTGCATTGATTATTAAAATAATGAATTACTTTTATACCAGTTGATAATTTCCTGCTTCTCTTAAGCTCTGAGTTCTCCATTATCACCTGGGCTACCATAGCCCATCTGCCTGAACTCTGTAGACTACCTCATGGTCTCATAATAAAAGTATCAATTTTCAATACTGTGGTGTCCCTCTAGGGACCTCTAAGAGTTCAAGTGTACATCCATCAAGTTCCTGTTTGAATTAGTTGATTTGAAACACTTAGAGGATTATCATTCTTTGGGTCATACGATGTCTTTGTATCATTGAAGATACTTCTTAATGTCCTTTGTATCTGTCTCATTCTGATTGCACAGCTTCTTAGCTATCTCTGAGCAGTTCTCAAACCACTTCTTGTGCAACCTTTGCCTTGTTGCTTTTTGCTTGAAGGCTTCTATAGTTTCATGTTTTTCTCAAGGAAATAGCCACTGGGAGAATAGAAGTTAGAATGTACCTCTAGGAAAATCAGTTTGGGAAAATTAAAAGATAACCTTGGAAAGAGTATAAATTCTTAAATGTTAGATATGTATCCTATTTCTTTTTTTATTGTGAAAATACTGTACAGAGGGGTTACAATTACATGGGCAAGGTAATGAGTACATTTCTTATCAAGCATTGTAGCCTCCTCCTTTGTTTCCCCTTCCCATCCCTTCCCATCCTCCCCTCCCGCCCCCAATATGTGTCCTATTTCTTCTATCAGATGTTTTATGATTTGACTCCTGTCAATGGAAAATCTTGTTTTATCTGCTCTCTCAGTTCCAGCTAGAAGTTCAGAGAACCACAAATAGCCAATTTTTTGGAACCGAAAATCATGAAATCTATTTTTTAATAAAAAGTTGAAGCATTAAATCTAAAGGACACTGGAATTTTTTTGCTTTACCATTCTCTATCCTCTGATATAAGTTCTTAGATTGAGAGTATTATAGCTAGAATTACATTAGATATAATCCATATGTTTCATGAAATTTATGAGGAAACTAAGACCCAGTGACAGTCATTGATTTGACTACTTACTGTATTAATTTTTCTATGACTATTATAAAAACTTATTGCAAGTCAGGTTTGATAGTTATTACTAAGTTATTATCAACTTTTCAGTAGGACTACCATCCTTCTAGATGCTCTGGCAAAAAAACAAAAACACTTCTTATCTTTTCCAATTTCTAGATGCTACCTACATTCCTTTTCTCATAGCTCCTCTCTTCCATTTTTAAAACTAACAATGTAAGAATACTCAAATCTTCTACTCTAACCTTCTATCTATTCCCTCCACATTTAAATGATCCTTATTAGTACATTGAACTCATTCAGATAATTGAAGATAATCTCCCTATCTCAACATGAGCTATTTATTAACTTTAATTTCTTTTTGTAATACAAACTGACACACAGGTTCTAGGAATTTACATGGAAATATCTTTAGAAGATACTCTATTATCCTATTATAGTTATACAAAAAATAACCAGTCCAGAACTGGAAACTCAAGACAGTGGGTTCTTTCAGCCAAATGTATATTATTTAATATGTTTTGAGAAATCAGCAAGTTGAAATTTAGTCAATGAGCATTTTAATAGAAAGATTCTTCAACGAGGTTGCATTTCAATAAAGCTGAGAAGTGAAGGAACCACGAAAATCTCCAGTCCCCCCCCCAAAAAAAACCCATGGAGATCTGGTGCAAATTCCAAGAATCACCGAACTGTGGATCCAAAAGACATTATTAAGGTTTTCAATCTGTGGCCTTTCTTAAGACTCTCATTTTGTTTGTTTCTGTGAATAGCTAAAGAAAAGATTAGAAAATGTAAATGGAAAATAAAAAAATCTGGGCGAATGTGAGCTGATCTTTAGTTTCTGGTGCTTATTTGTTGTTTGATTGTTTGTTTGGTACTGGAGTTGAAATTCAGGGACTCTTGTTTGCCAGGCATGAGCACCACTACTCAGCTATGCCTCCTCTGGCTTTATCTTTTTTTGTATTTCAATTTTTTATGTTTTTTACTGTAAAAATACTGTATAGAGGGGTTACAGTTACACGAGTAAGGTAATGAGTACATTTTCTATCGAGCATTGTTACCTCCTCCTTTGTTTTTCCCCTACTATCCCTTTCCTCCCCATCTCCCCAACTCCTCCCCTCCACCAAGTTGTAAAGTTCGTTATCAACATAGTGTCTTGTACATCTCATTGCTACAATGGGTCAACTTGTATCCTTGTTTAAGCATTTTGTTATTTCCCTTCCCCTCCCCAAATTAGAAAAATGTACATACAAGATGCAGGGCACCAGAATCAAATTTTAACCCATATGATTTAGTCTTACTTTGCCTCCTAGGAAGGGGTCTACCTATGTTTTCCATCATCCTCATCATCCTCTTGTGCTGCATGGTTGTTTTCACTATGGCTTATATCTTACTCTGCCGGAAGACATCCCAACAAGGTGAGTGAGGACTATGGCTGGTTGGCTTTTGATCATATTCTTTCTGGTGGCTTATTTGCCTACTCTCTGTATGAAGCACTGTGTAACATACATCAGTAAGTTCAAAGCCAAGTTTTAAAGCTCAGGCAGGCAGAAATTCTTGCCAAAAAAATTAGAGAAGTGGGGGCTTGGAATATAGCTTACTGGTAGAATGCTTGCCTATCATGCATGAAGCCCTAGGCTCAACTCCTTAGTACCACATTAACACAAAAGGCCAGAAGTGGCGCTGCGGCTCAAGTGGTAGAGTACTACCCTTGAGTAAAAGAATCTTAGGGACAGTGCCCAGGCTCTGATTTCAAGCACTGGCAGGAAAAAAAAAATTGAAGAAGTTGATGGAAAAATCCTTGGTGCCCAGTTAAGTACAGCCATTCTTGTAGTTAAATGCCTTAAAAGGATATACAACATGTTCCTTTTAAGTTGCTTAACATTTATAAAGAGGGTTCAAGGTTAAAGCATGGAGTTGATAAATAACAGGGTAAAGCAGTAAATATTATGGACTCATCTAGGAGTGGTGGTACATACCTGTAATCCTAGCATTCTGAAGGCTGATTCAGGAGGATTGAGAGTCTCAGGACAGCTTGGGCTATGATGTAAAAAACTACTATCTCAAACACAACAAAAACCCCACAAAATCAAAACCTGAAGGAGCCAAGCAATATTAAAGGGAGCCCAAGGATAAGAGAATTAGACTAGACAATTAAAAGATCTTTCAGGATAGAAAATTGGTACCAGGCCATAAAAGATGAAAACAATTTATGATGGGCCAGCATTCAAAGATAGGGTAACTAGACAAACAAAAGTATAAAAATATAAAAGGTAGTGCTCGCTTCAGCAACACATATACTAAAATTGGAATAATACAGAGAGGATTAGCATGACCCCTGTGCAAGGATGACACGCAAATTTGTGAAGCGTTCTGTATTTTTCAGTGTACACTGCAAAAAAAATTATAAAAGGTAATTGAGTATCAAGTAATCAATTAAAATATATAGATGATCAATAGGGAAATATAGAAGGAAATAAAGCTCATTTGCCTTTTTAGATTAACATTCTTATTGGCAGGTATTATTGTTCAAAGGGACTTCATAGTGATATTTCTATATATGTATATAATTTGCTTTTATCCATCACCCCCTCTATTACTCTACAAAAATGGAAGACTTTTAATGACAGCCAGAAGAATTTAGACTTTCTTTAGTAGACCTTGCAAAGGCACTAAAAGTCACCCCACATTTTAGTAGGGGTGATGAAACTACTGTCAGTCTTGTGACGTCCCTTGTTTACTTATTTTGTGACTAATAGACACATTTCTGAGTTGCTCCTTTGAAGGATTATAAACACTTAGAGAAAAGTACCAAGCAATATCCATCTTTGAGCCTAAGCTTGGGACACTTCTCCTACACAGACACGAGGGGGCAATGATGATCTATTTCAGAATCTTCCTTGGCTTAGGGGTAGAAGTGAATGTACTTGGGCCAAGGCATGGGCCAAGGTCCTTGACATTAGATGAATCCAGCCCTTTCTTCCTGGATATTGGCCTGACAGTCAAGTTTCCTACAGGGATTCTCTGAGGATCATGGGTGAGATTCCTGGGTGGAAAGCAGGTCCAGTTCCAATGTTCTCTGCTCACCCACACCAATCAACAACTCCAATCTAATATCTTGAGTCATTGATAACAAAGAGGAGAGTAACCATGCATGGATCTTCTTCATTTCTCTGCTAAATATGCAGTGTTCCAACTTATTGCATAAGTATTGTAAAAATCCAAGTATCTCCCAGTATTGGAAAGCTAAAACATTCAGCATCACTCTCTGTGCCCTTTTGACTGGTATCCAGGGTTCATTGCCCATAGAAATTTCTGACTTGAATCCTTCTTCTTTTCTAGAGCACATCTATGAAGTGACCAGGTAAGATAATTTCTCTCTTTTCCCATGTTATGATCCTTTTCCTGACCTCAATTCTCTTGATCATTGGCAGGAAACATGAAAAAACTGGGGAGGAGGGGTAAGCATAGAGCATGGAACTAAAGGAGTCCTAAAAATCCAGAGACCCTCAGGGTCAGTATAGCTTTCTACTCTCTCTGAGATTCCTGAGTTTCTATCCTGGCTCAGTGAGCACAATAGATTATTTAGAGGTACCAACCCTCTACTCCCCGAATATCTGACAACAAAGTTAGTTGGTAAGGACTTACTTAAGCAGAAATGTGGGAAAACACAGTCTAAGGCTCAAATCTCTTCTCATGATGGGCTCTGGGTTATAGGATGCATCCCAGGGAGGCCAGTGACCCTGAAGAAACCATGAGAGTGTCCGTCTACACAACTGGCTGCTCCAGCAATGAGCCATATTCCCAGGCTCTGAGTAATGAGTATTCTGATGATCCCTGCCTGGGCCATCAGTGCCAGATCATTGCCCAGATCAACGGTGACTATGCCCGCCTACTGCACACAGTACCACCAGATTATGAAGTGCTGGCCACTCAAGGCAAGAACGTCTGCTAAAAATGTCCCACAAGGTCAAGATCTGCTGGCTTAATTGCCCTATTCAGGTCTTTCCTTCTGTATATAGCCTCTCTGCTACCTCTCTTCCTGGATCATTCAGTGTCTATCCTGCTGAAGCTGTAGTCCTTGAATGGGACTGGCTCTGCCTATGAAATTTTGGTATGCACTGCAAGCAAGCCAACTGGACTCTTCTTGTGTCACTTCCTGATGTATTACTGCTCCTTTCCAAACACCAGAGAATGGCCCATGGTACTAGAGCTTGGTCAGAATGCTTCCAGTGCTATCAGAAGACCAGAGAAGGTTCAGTTCTACCAGCTCAAAGGATCAACATCATTTCCCATTTTCCAGGGCCTGGCAACTTTTAAGTGATGTCATGTCATCACAGGCTAGGGTTCAGATTTGCTGCTACATAATAAGTCTTTTGCTCTGGTATTCTTTTGGTGCTCAATAAATATCTAATCATGATGGCAACCTCAGTTGTTAGTCTTTTCTCAGGGTTTGGTAGCACCTACCAAGAGTGCTGAAAATAGGACTAGTTAAGATTGATGGGATTCCTGGAGGTATGGATCACACCTTTGGGGTATTTTTTTGTTTTGTCTTGTTTTGTTTTTTCTCCTTCCCAAACCCTATATGACACCCGTACTTCATACCACCCAATAAATATTTGCTTAAATGTTTATTAGCTTCCATTCCCTTCCCTATTATCCTGTCATCTCCATCTGGATGGCTTCCCAAGACAATTTGTAGTCTGACAAAGAAGGATCCCTCCTGCCCATATTCAGGGACTCCAATGTAGAGAAGAGATTCCTCCATTTTGACAATATGTACGTATGCACCATTTCTAAGGATTCTGTTTCTTTGCATCATACAATCTTTGGGATAGTTGTATTCTTTGTAGATTTATCCCCTGACTCTTCTTACAATGTGGAATGGGGCACAATCAACATAGTCTTTTCCCTGATGAGCCAAGATGAGGGTTAGGAATGTGTGTGTGTGTGTGTGTGTGTGTGTGTGTGTGTGTACACACAATTATACACCTTTAAAACAAGCTACCAGAATAGATCTGTTCATATATGAGTTTATACACACTTCCTTTCTCTCATGTAATCCATGAAAAATCGATTTCTTTTTTTTTCATGGGAATTGTCATGTTGCCACTTTGAGTCCCAGTACAGTGACAGGTTGGAAGGAGATGCTTCCCTATCGTATCCCTATTGGGATAAAAATGTCAACAGAGTAGCCTCTACTTTACCACCACTCAACCTCATCCTTTCCCACATCCATGAATGCTACATTCACAACTTCTTTCTCACTGTTCTTACAAGCCTCTGAAATAGGACCCCACTCAGTGGGAACTTCAGCTTCCTTCATAAAACAGCTCTGTGACTAGATCCCACAGCCTTTGAAAACCCTCATCATCTTTCTCTACTAAAAAAAAGAAAGAATCCCTATGGTTGAACAGTGAATCTTAGTGAAATGAGTCACAAATTGAGAGAACCTCATCCATAGGAACTATGAGTCCCCAGGGATTTCTCAAAATCTTTCATCTTATGATCCTAACTCTTTCATATTATGGATGAGGAAACAGTGGCTTGTTTACAAAATTGAAAATTTCACGTCAATGGTAGAATGGAGATCAAAAACAAGGCTTAGGAACTTTTAGGCATATTTATTCATCACAACAAGAACTTTCTGGAGATTTTCTTTGCTTCCAAACTTGTTTTCAATATAGAATAAATCAGAAAGTGATTCCTGAGTACAGAAGTAGACCCAGTTTCCAGGATAGTATAAAATCAATGATAATGTTACCATAGGACCTGTCTTTGGATGCTAGCTGACCAGGGGAATGTAGAGGAGTGAAAAGAGGGGAGGATTTCCAGAAGACAGGGACAGTAAGAAATTTCTCTAGGGAATTTTTAAAAAATTTTATTATCTTTTAGTTGTACAAAGGGGTTTCAATTCAACATGTCAGCGTATGAGTACAATGCATCTTGATCAATGTCACCCATCCATTGTTCTCCTCCATCTTTCCAAACTCCACCCATCCTCTCAAGTTACTAGGTTCAATTTTCATATATATATATATATATAGAATATTATTATGATATTCACCCACCATTCCTCTTTCCATTTTTCTGTCCCTGGTCCCCTTGATCTCTCCTCAACAAAACAAGTTTCAGGTTCCTGCTATTCATTTTGTTAAACTGTAAATTAGTTGTTCAAAGGAGTTACATCATTGGAATTCTCCTGTACATATACCATATGTTTGTGTATATATACATACATATAACCCTGTATATGTTTTCATATATTCTTATAATTTAGATCCAACTTCCACAGAAAGAAAACATGTCTTTTTCTCCCTGAGCCTGACTTACTTCACTTATTTTTTTAGGTCCAGGGCAGTTTTTGAATTTTTGTTCCATGTAATATTTGAGATAGCCAATGGAAAAATCTCCATAGTCAGAGAAGTATACAAACTCTTCACTCTACTTCCATTCTAGAGATAAGCAATATAATATTAGAATGTTAAAGTCTTTGAATAATTCTGCAATAAAGTCCCTGTGTAACTTTGACCAAGTGATCTCAAAATTTATTTGCTCTCTGAGCTCATTTTTTGGCCTCCTCTTTTAACCCTTGGTTTTATTTCTCAGGAAGCAAAAACCCTCCATGTTTGCTGATGTTCTGTCCACTCTATATGAGGTTCACAGAGTGATTTCTTTTCTCCCACAAAATCCTAGGTGACATTTGGTACCTAAACTCAATGCTAATGGACTAATGAAAATGAAGTCAATCAGTAAAACATTTATTGAATATCATAGTTAAAATGCTAGGCAACTGTAGTGGAAGTATTCATCAAGGAAATAGTCATGTGTTCTAGAAGCTCACAATGCAGTTAAGATCTCAAGAATATTCCCTGAGAAAACTCACTAGCAATCCAAAAGGTTATTTTGAGTGGTAGGAGACATATGGGCACATACTAAGACCCAGATAAATAATGTTTTGTACATGATAAAGGAAAAAGTATAGGTTTATTTGGGAATGTGCCCAGAGGGACTGGACACTGACAAGGCCTAGACATATAGGGACAAATTGGACAAGCAAAAAAAAGTAGAGAATGTGATCCAGGGAGAAAAACAAGAGGAAAAGGAGGAAGGCAATAATGAAAGTATGCCCCGCTTTCTCACATAAGTCATAATACTTGTATGAGAATCCTGGGGTCCTGGCTATGAGAAGGGAGATATGAAGAAAGAATGAGTAAACAAGCACTTCCCTCCCTTTATACCCTATGCCATGAAGAGCTTGTGTACTCTTTAGCATTCTCATGATATTTGCAGACACATCTCATAGTAGTTGCCCCCAGAGTTGTGTCACTTTTCCCCTGTATACTCAGATACAATGCCTTAGTTCCCTCAAAGTCATAGAAAATAACAGAATAGCTCGGTGTTTGGAAAGCATTCTTTTATGTAGTCGACAATTTATTCATTGTGTCCATCTGCCCTGGCCTGGAGCTGCTAGGCAGGTGCCGCACTTGGGGTATTTGACAAACTGACACTCTACCACATGGAGTGTCCAACTCAGCTTGTCAAATACACGGAGCGTGGCACTGCTGGAAGCCAGACCAGGGGCTTCCTTGGGACAGTGAGATCGTCTTGGAAGATGTGGCCCTGGAAAAAGAGAGAGAGAGCAATGATGAAATTACACTCAGATTCTCCAGAACGTTTGGAGGCTGAAGGGACCCACCTAAAGAGCAGCATAGAGAAATAAGCAAAATAAGGCATATAGCTCAGCCAGAGGAAAGATTATAAGTACCCATAGCATCTCATGAGTCTCCATCTTCAATGGGGTTCTGTAATAGGATAATTTGGTGATTACCCTGCCTTCTTGACTTGAAGAAAGGACCAACCCCATAGTTCTTGCTCTACTTTCTTATCTTCCAATTTTCTCAAGTTGTTTTCTTACAAATGTCAAGGTTAGACTGCATTCTAACACAGGTTTGAAGCCTTACTCCGCCATTAAACTAGTTGAAATACTTGGATAAATTATTTCACCTTCATGAACTCTAACTACATTTAATTACACATAAGGTATGTGTAATTATATACAGTACCTATTTTATAAAATTATTGGGAGAATAATGTGAGATAACGAGTGTCAATTCTTTTGTATTTTCCATATAATGAATGTTCAAAATGGTGGCTGTATCTGGGCATTATGGCACATGCCTGCAATCCCAACAACGTCAGAAGTAGAGGCAGGAGGTGATCGTGCTGCCAGAAATAAAGCAAGATTGACTGATAATTGATTTGACAGAGTAAGTGTAATGATAACAGTGAGTTATTTTAGGCCTAATTCTTATATAACCTGAATACCTTACCCATAAGAACTAAATAATGGCCACAGTAAAAATGTTATTATTGATCATCTGATCCCACCCACTGAAGGTTATAAATTAGGAAATGAAGGTCCATATTAGGGAAGAAACTTGTTAATGCTTATACAATACATCATTTATAGTTAGGAGTTATGCAATATATTACATTATTGTGCCTCTAGATTTATTTTTTATCTGCATCTGGGGAAAGGAAAAGATGCATTAATGAAGAACAAAACTTGGCAGTGGATTTTGCACTATGATACTGCATACATGAACCCACAGCCAATAGGGCAATAAGGAAGCTTGTCAGGATCAGAGTCAGGCCTACAACTTCTTGGAGAATTCCCTTAGGAAGATCCAGGAGCCGTTACTAAAATTTCCAGGCTACCCTTCCCAGCTGTGGCAGTTGTTCTATAAGAAAGTAAAGTAGCTTGTCTATATTCAATTCTACCATGAAAAGTGGCAAACAACCCAAAATGACTAGGAGTGGAAAACTTCTTATGTGGTCTTTCAGCAAGAGTATTTTTCTCAATTCTTTGAGTTGACTATAAAGGAGTAACATGCCCCTTTAATTTAATATCTTGAATGACTTCAAATCTAAGGATCAAAACTATCTTTGCCACTCCTTTACTTCCTTCTTTATACACCTATTTCAGCCTCAGCCTCCCAGAAGTGTAGCTCTCAAAGTGGCCTGGAATCCAGACCAATTGAGTCACAGATTCTTTGCGTGACCTTTGGCAAGTACTTTCTTTCCTCTTTCTGGATCTCTGTTTTTCCCACATGGATCCTTTTAATTTCCCAAGAATCCTTTTAATTCTCAAATTTTATCTGTCAAATAAGAAACTAGAGAAGAAAGAGCATTCTTAGAGAGCCTGCATGGATCACCCCAGGAGAGCTGCCTAAAGATAAATTCAAACATCACTCCCATCTTTTCTCAACAGAGGGGTGACAAGTATCAAAATAAGAGATAGAAAAACAAAGACTTTAGATGGCATTCAACTAATCCTTCTTTTCTTCTTTCTTGCAAAAGGGATTCAAACAGTGGATCTTAGATTGAAGAAAAAAATCACCCAAAGATAATACATCCGGTAAACAATAAACAGGACTACTA